GGAATAGGAGGAGGTAATTTGAAAAGTTCATCCCTTTCCACTTGCCATGGAACACAAACCTCACATGTTTCCGCGTTTAATACCATGCTCAAGTGGGATGAACTTGGATCCTATGCATCCTAAGAATCAGGAGACTTGTAGAGGCTCTACCCTAGGTGATGTTTGTTAAGATTTGCAAAATGAAATAGGGAAGAAGAGGAAGAAGAGGAAGAAGAGGAAGAAGAGGAGAGACAATGAAAAGTGGCTAGGGTTTCATTTGCATCAAGAAGCACACATTACATGAGTAAAAGATTAATATATATACAATAAACAAAAAGACTAAACTACCCTTAAGTAGGGTGAAATAAAAGAAATTTAAAGACTATAATATCTAACATCCCCCTTCAAACTCACGATGCATCAAGGGGAATCATCGAGAGTTTGCTAGTCAAAAAGGAGAAGCTTTGAGTGGAATGTGATTTCGTAAACACGTCAGCAAGTTGCATGGAGGAAGAAATATAGGGTAAGGTGATAGTGCCATGTTATAGGAGTACCATCAGCTGTCATGACTGATACAGATGATGTAGGATGTAAGGATACAAATGATGTAAAATCAGATGACATATGATGTGAGGCTCCAGAGTCAAGAATCCAAATGTAAGAAGATATACCTGATGAGCTAGAGGAAAACAAACCTATATTTGAGGAGGCAGACATAGCATGTGGTTGTGTGACAAGAAACTTTTGAAACTACTCAGCAAGCGTGGCTATTGTAGGGCCCGAAGAATATGCATGTCCAACACCAAGAGAGTCTGTCGAAGGAACAACAGCTGCAACATTTGATGTTGGAGTTCTGAAGTTTCGTGGGTGCAATTGATTGAGTTGTTGTGTATACTGTGATTTGTTCAACAACTTTGGACATTGAGCTTTCCAATGACCTTTTTGCTTACAAAAGCTACATTCATCAAAACCAACCTTTCCATGAGATTTGCTTTTATTATGAGTGGCTGCAACAACAGATAGATTTGGAGTGGGGAGGATCCCTTTCTCTACATTCCCTTTCTCACATTGAGAATTGAGGTGAATCTCTTTAGCTAATAACTCATTAACCACTGAGTCAACTATTGGAAGAGGATTGTGATGTAAAATTGTTCCACAAAGCCCTTCAAAATCATCTTGAAGAGCCATAAAAAACTAAACCAAACATTGTTCTTCTCTATGATCGGTGTATGGTTTAAAAGCTCGTAATTCTGCAGATTCAATAAGAGATAATTGATCCCAAAGATTGCTCATGTTGTTTTGTTGAAGAGCACAAATATCTATCTCTAATTGATATTGCTTCGCAAAATTTGACTGCACATATAATCTTTCCAAATGATTCTAAATTTTTTTGGCGGTTTCATATTTTGCTAATTGGACACTGATTGATTGAGAAACCGAGTTATTGATCCAAATGATTATTTTTGAATTGTTTGCTTCCCATACTTCCAACCTTTCTTCATCTTTTTCATCTTTTTCATCTATAGGCTTAAAAAAGGTTCTAGAAATATAACCCCTCATTCTTTTGCCTTTCAAAAAATTCTTCAATATTTAACTTCAATATGAGTAATTTTGTCCATTTAAGTGCACACTAATAGACTGAAGATAATTATCTTTTTCACCAGCCAATGTTACTATTATCAAGATAAAAAATAGAAAATAAGGAACAAGAAGATCAAATACCAATAACAATAGATTACCCAAAAAACTACAACCGGGTCTATCGTTGGAGACTGCAAATGACGCCGAAAATTGGATCTATCACTAGAGATTGTAAAATGACCCAAAAACTGCAAATAGATCCCAAAAAAAAGTGGCTAGTGACCAAAAGAAAATATGTTGAGATTTTAATACCTATTTTATACTATTTTTAATGATATTGCACTTTAAAGAAATATATTTTTGATGTTTTGTTGCAGGAATGATGAATTAGGGTCATTGGAGCAAAAA